TGATATTTGGTAGGTGAGTGAAAAGTATTTTTAGGAGAAAAATATATATTAAAAATTAATAATCAAATTGAATAGTATTTTGATAAAAAAATAATTTTGAGTATTAGAAATGAATAATAATGTACAAGTGTTAGATGAAGATGAAATTAAATAGTTAAGATAATTCTCTCTGTTTTTATCTTCAACTTTTTTGCAGAGAAAAAGACTAGACATTGCTCTGTGATTGTGATACCATGGGTCGTTTTCCCTATCAATAATTTCACTCTTTTGTCTTTTCCTTTCTGTGTTTTCAATGAGTGAAATGTGTTTTTGATTCCATTGTTTTCTCCATCATTTTTTTGTTTGCTTTTGATGGGGTTCTTCATACGAAATTTTTTATAATTAGTGGCTTTATATGAAGAAATATATGAATCTTGGAATTTAACTCTGCTCTTTTTGTATGATACAATCTGTGCTTCGATTTTCTTGATGGCTTTTTGTTTCTCTTTTCTGTAAATAAATATAATATCTTGACAGGACACTATATCAGCAAGAATTAGTGTTCCTGCTATGCTAGTGAACCGTATGGGAGCTTTTTGTAAATCTTGGTAACATGATCCCAATATGTGAAAACAGGATATCGATTTGAAATTCTTAGTCGTGAGGGGGGTTGACCATTAGTCTTTGATAGTAATAGTTTTCTTGGCTTGGATTTGGTAATGTACAATATATGACTCTCGGAGTGACTATTTTCTAAACGCAGAAAAATGGAATTCTCTCAAGCAGATTACATGAATGATGACTCTGACGATAATTCTCCTTATATCTTCAAGGGATCTTCCTCAGCAACTACATCTCAGAGGCACGGTATTCACCCGGTACGTTCAAGTTCTTTATGAAACATTGATCTTTTTTTCCATAAAAAGAGCACATAGGTAGTACAACTTACCTGCAAAGAGTAAAGTAGCAACTATTTTCTATATTTATTGCTTGTTAAGGCCTTCTCTTTTTAACAATTGTGATGTATGCATTTCCTTTGTGACTTAAGTCAGCAGTTAAAATGGACATGTTTTGTTAGTTCTGAGTCATGTTTGGCAAAAATATTGAATAAAAGTTCGAAGCGTTCTTTTGATGATTAGTGGTGTAGCCTAGTTCTCATGTATTACCATCTTCTTCCCCATATTCTTTTCTTTTTGACGATGAATGCACTTGACTAACAACTCATGCAATATACAAGCTTCAATTAATTGAATGTCCCATTGTGTTTCATGATGAGCCAATCTTTAGTCCCTATTTCCTTTATAGCGTCTTCTTTTAGACGAAGAAACAAGGGAAAGAGTCAATGAGAGCAAAATCTCTTGATTTTGAGAAGTTACCTCTCTTGTACTGCAGCTTGCAGGATATGACTTTAAGACTGAGGCTTATCAGAAGGTAGATGAATTTCCTGCACACATCATAAGAGAAGGGGATAAGAAGATAAAAGATGTGGTGAAGGAGCATGTACTCCCTTTCCTTCCTGCTAAATCGCTTATGAAGTTTAAGGCTGTGTCCAAAGATTGGGATAAATGGATAGCTAGTCCCTTATTAACCCACCAACAAAGTTTCTCTTACCAGAGTTTTTCTGGCTACTTTTATCAAAATATGAGTAAATGGGATATGAATACTATGTTTTTATCTCTGGACCCTTCTACAATTGGAGTTCCCAGCCCAGCCCTTGATTTCTTGCCTGAAGTTGTCAAAATTCTAAGCTCTTGCAACGGGTTGCTCCTTTGTCAGGGGTTAGAGAAGTATTATGTTTGCAATCCTGCAACCAAAAACTGGAAAATTCTCCCCCCTCCTCGGTACTATCATGGGGATGAACCGGCAATTGTTCTTGCATTTGAACCTTCTCTGCGTAACATTGAGGCATATTATCATGTTATCTGTGCATTTCCTATGCTTGATCAGCCAATCATCGGATTTGAGATTTACTCTTCAGAATCAGATTCTTGGAGCTGCTCTTCTGCAGACTGTTCTGATCTAGAAAATCCGTGTCTTGTTGGTGGGGGTTTGTTTATGAAGGGGGTTGCTTACTATGAGACAAAATCAAACGAAGTATTGGCCTTTGATGTGAAAGAAGAGATCCCTGCAATTATATCTTTACCTGTTCAAGTTGGGAGGGATGGATCCTTAACACAGATGGACGGTGAGCTGAGCTACGTTACTGCTTCTAATGAATGTGAAAATGTCTTCTTAATAGATATCTACCAAGGCATGGAAATGAACCTGAAGCGCAGTGTTAGCATCAATCTTGGACCCAAGAGGAGTCTTACTTATGCGTGCAAGGTACTACCCTGTGTTAACAGTGATGCTGTGGCTATTCAGGTTCGCGAACACATATACTTGTATCACATCAGGGAGCAGAAAGTTGAGTCTATAGCAAGTCCAAACGCATTCGGTTCAGCCAAAAAGTTCCTGCCCTACATAAACAGCCTTGCTAATGCTACATTGAACTGAAGCCTTAATTCACTCTGTCCATGGGTGAAAATCACTTATTTTACAGCTCTTTTGAATCTCTGCTTACATTATGACTTGGATGATGTATAAAACTAAGTTGACATTCTCTTTTTTGTGAACAATGAATTTTGTCTAAGGACCTGTTTCATGTGGATAGTGACATTCTTATTATCTTTCGTCTCAACATGAATATTTATTTATTCATTTTTGTGGTTTATTTTTCAACTGTAGTTTTTGGTATATTCACCCACAGAAATCATAATGAGTGTTGTGCACAATGTATAGTGCAAGAAACAATTTTATTCAAACATGTTAGAGGTAAAAAAAAAAAAATCAATGCTAGAGAGAGAGGATCTCATTGTTTCACTTTTTTTGGTTGAATGAAAAAAACCACGAGTTTGTTCATTTATTAAGATTGAGAACCAATTATTAACAATCACAAACACGTTGAAAAATTTCATCTTCCTCAAAACTTTTATTCTAACACGATGATGACATTTGCTAGCTTGTCTCTCTTTCTAATATCTATTACCATTTCTCTGATCAGTAAAATACTTTTTAAAGATATTTTTATCCATCATAAATTCGGATTGGTTAGCTGATATCAGTTTGGGCAATACTAATTCCAATTTGTCAATAACTTTGGACATAATCTTATTAATGAAGTTACTCAAGCTTATTGGTCTCATATCAGGAAAAAAAGTAATAATATTATTTATTATTATTATTAAGAAGGATTAGATTAGTATGATTAAGCTTAAACCAAGTTGTCATACTTCATAGATGCTTACCGAAAAGTGCCAATTTGTGAAGCAGACTTTTGATGCAATGCAACCACTAGGAATACTCCAATGGAGAAATGACTTAGTAAATCCAATGAAAATTAACCACGTGACCCCATTCCACAAAAATATAAAGTTATATTATATTCTCGTTTATTTTTACTTGTATATTCTAAACTTTTCACGCTTTTAAGTGGTTAAAACACACCTAAACTATACCATTTTTTTGAGTTTCATACCCAAACTATTGAAAGTGTGAGAAACACACCTAAACTATTTCACTTTAGTTTGAAAAACACACCTCAAATAAAATATGATAGTGTGTGTATTACACTCTCTCAATTATTATTTTTTAAATGCCACATAGATTGCCACATGGAAACAAATTCCACCATGTCAAAAGATTAAAGTTTTACTTTCAACATGTAGAAACATCTTTCTCTGTTTCTCAGCTGGGTCTCTTTGGTGTGTGAAAATTTTGAGTAAATTTAGGGTTTTCACTATTAATTCACAAATTCATCATGGTTTGAAGGTTAGTTACTCATTTGTCAAAAAATGTTAGGGTTCTTATTTTTTGTCTCAAAATATTAATGATTTTGTATAATTTTTTAGGTTTTGATTCATACAATCTGAAAAGAGTTGAAAGGAGAAGAAATTGACTACATAAGGTACTCTTTCTTTACTCCTGAACTTAATTTTCGTACTGGTGGCGATTTTTAGCTACTGATTTCATGAACAATAGTTGGCTTATTGAACTTTGCATATTTCAATTGTTCTAAGGTAATGGGCACTAAGTACGTAAATTTGAGGTTTCACATCGGTGGTATACTTGTGAGTGTGGTAGGACCTGCTTATATTGGGGGGGAAAAGAATATGCCTTCAATGTTAATATAGACCATTTGTCTATTTCGGAAGTGAATGACTATTGCAGGGATTTTGGGGTTACCAATATAGAAGTTCGAAAGTGCCTTCGACGGAAGTCTTCAACTGCTCAAGTAGGCAATTTGGTAGAATTGGTTAAAGATAGGGATTTGTTGGTCTTAGCCAATTTGTTGGTTGCTGGGGGTACTATGGACATTTATATCTGCCATAAAGGGGAAGTTTTTATCAAAACATCACATGTGACCAATGAATCTTTTGAGACCACATGCAATGAAGTTGATAGACCTAACAAAGAATCTACCAACAAAGCTGGTGAAGGTCTCAATGCACCTTTAGGGAAAGAAATAACATTTATTGATGGTAGAGATCAAATTGTCGGGGTCCAACAATCAAATCTGATAGAAAATGGCAGCAGAAACACAAATGAAGTTGAAGATGAATTTAAGTTTTCTAGTGAAGATGAAGATTCAGAGGAAGATGAAGTAGAAACTATTGTGCATAGTGATGCTGAAAGTGATGAGAATGTTGACTTTTCTAGTGACGAGGATGGTTATGGGAGTGATATTCATGAAGAGCTGAGCATAGTTAAGAAGGATTTGAAAGCATATTTGAAGAAAAAAAAGAGCCAAGGAAAAAAAAATTGCTGAGTGTTTTATGGGAGAAGTTGGCATAGATCCTGATTTTGAAGACATTGATAAAACCCAAGAAAAATTTAACTGGTAAGCTAGTAGGTGATGAGCCTTTCTACGACAGTTCTGATGCCGATAGTTTTGAAAGTGAAAGTGAGGAGGAAATAGATGTTGAAAGATCTGATATTTTAGGGGAAAGAAAGAAGGACAAAAGGGTCTTATATGATCCAACATGGAAAAAGTTGTGTGGCAACTTAATATGGTATTTGAAAATGTGAAAAAATTCAGAGAAGCTTTGAGCAAGTATGCAATTGAGAGAGGTTGTCAACTGGATAAGATCCACAATGATCAAAGAAGGGTCAGAGTAAAATGCAAAGCTAATGGCTGTCCTTGGATACTTTATGCAAGCAAAGATTTCAAATCTTCTGATTTCATTATAAAAACCTACAATCCTAGACATAAGTGTTATATGACCAATACCAACACAATGTGCAACTCTAAGTTTTTGGCTAAGTACTATAAAAGTAGAGTTGTTTCTCAACCTTGCATAAAGGGATGGGAAATACAAGATTTGGTCAGGACAGACATGGGATTGTATGTTGGTAAGTTCGTGTGTTTGAAGGCCAGAAAAATGGTGTTGAAAAAGATAATGGGTGATCATGTTGCTGAGTTTAGTAGAATCTATGACTACGGAGATACGCTTCTTGAATCAAATCCAGGAAGCACTTGTGTGGTGAAAGTGACAAATTGTGATGATGGAAAAAAATTCTTTCATTCCTTTTATATTTGTTTTTCAACTTTGAAAAAAGGATTCATTGAGGGTTGTAGAAAGTGCATTGGGTTAGATGGTTTCTTTTGAAGGGAATATCTAAAGGCCAGCTACTTGTTGCTATTGCAAAGGATGGGAATAATCAGATGTTCCCAATAGCATGGGTTGTTGTTGGAACTGAAAGTAGAGAAACTTGGACTTGGTTTTTGAGAATCTTGAAATCTGATTTGGACATTAATGATGAAGGAGAATGATTGACTATCATAAGTGATATGCAAAAGGTACAATTTTTAGCCTCTAGTTTCAGCTTTTTTAGCCAATATTAGCTGCTATTTTCAGTTTTTTTAGCTACTGATTTTACAAGTTTTAGTTAATGTGTTTTAAGTAATTTTAACTACTAATTTAAGCTCTTTTTTAAGCTCTGTTTCATCTCTTATAATCCAATTTTAACTACTGATTTCATGATTTTTTAGCTGATGTGTTATAAGTAGTTTTTAACTATTGATTTCAGCATTTTGTAAGGACCTTTTGATAGTCCATAACAACATTCTGTCTTGTCCACAAAATTAGAAACTCTAGCGGTACTTTGTTATTCAACTTGTTTAGCTACTGTTTTTTTTTTTGTCTTACTTATTTTTCTATCCCTTTTTAGCTTTTAGTTGTTAAGTGATTTTAGTCTTAGTTGTGCGTATTCTTCACTTTTGATGCCACACTTCTATTGCATTAACAAAAAATACACTACTTTTGGCTAATTCAACATGCCCTCATTGACATTTTTGAAGAGTCCAAGCAACATATATTTTAGTTATTATTTTGAGTGATTTTAA